GATTACTTGATTTACTGACTGAAGTATATCAACACATCAGTATACTTTGATATTTTTGAGCTTGTAAGGTTATATAATAGACATACAGTGTGATTTTTTTTTAAACATTCACCCCTCCGAAGTCAGTACCACATTATACGACTCGAACAAGTTTGGTATTCTTACCATGTCGTTCCACCTACCGTCATGATTGGCTTCAAATCAAATGTATTTGATATACTGCTAAAAAGGCACAAAAGCAGTTTATGCATCTTTGCAATATAGAGTTTTACCAAGAAATTTGCGATGTGATTCGTAATTAATGAAAATATAAATCCTGAGACTACGTGTAAAATATCAGAAAGATATCGCACTCTTATTGGCTGGCCGGAGTGTACCTGAAGTACCCATACCTGACCATCCGCGCCGGAGCCCCAGGAATGTTTTAGTTTCCCCTGGAGAGAGTCGAATTGCCCCGCGCCAATCCACGGGGATGAAGATGTTATCTCCTCCTTTTACTTACTCAGTGGTGAGGGAAGTTCAAGATTGGCTTGCACTGATGTCAGCACGTAAAAAGATAACTCTGTGTTGGGTGCCAGCACATGTTGGTATCAGTGGGAATGAGCGAGCTGATCAGAAGGCCAAGGCAGCTGCCGCTCAGCCTTGTGATGCTCGTTTTCCTCTCCCACACACTGACTTGAAACCCAGCATCAGAAGTTGTCTTCGTGATGAATGGAGGGAACAATGGAGGCATACCTCTAGAAATAAGCTACGAGAGATTAGAGATGACCTTGGCAGTTGGGTGACCAGCATCCATCGTAACCGACAAGTGGAAGTTGTATTAACAAGGCTGAGAATTGGGCACACAAGACTGACTCATGGGCCGATGATGGCTAAGAGTGAAGCACGCTGTGAGGGATGCCAAGAGCCATTGACGGTCGCGTATATAGTGGAGAGATGTACAACATTCTTAGACCAAAGACGAAGGAACTTGTCTCCCCCATATACATTGAAAAATGTTTTGGGGGAGGATTGTGACATAGAAGGTCTTATTAGTTTCCTTAGGGAAACTAATATTTTGAATAAAATTTAATTATGCATAATGTTTATGCAATAGTTTTTGTTTTTTTTTTTCATTTAGAGCATAATATTTATGCTTTGGTTTTTAATATAATATTTATTGTTATTTATGACATTTATTGATAATTTTTTAACGTTTTAAATATTTTAATGTTTCAATCAATCAATCCTCCTTTTACTATCTTTATTAGTTTTATTTTACCTTGTATTCTTTTAAATTTATTATTCTTAAAACGAAGCATAAAACCGTTTTCTTTCTCACGTTCTTCTTTATGCAGTCTTTTTAAAGCTGGGAGAAGAACATGCGTATATTTTTATTTTTATTTTATTTTAATAGTCTTAAACTCCATTTTAATGGGGAGTAAGGGGTAATAGTCTTTTATATAGAGATACGCAAGTGATTTTTTTTTTATTAAAGGGCGTGTCGAGGAGGGATTAGTTTCTAGCTAATTCATTGGATCCTTGCTGGGGGTCGGCTATATTTAGCCCGGTGACGAGAGGGAAGACAGACAGGGGGTAGGCTGTCAGTGAGAACGTCCTTTAGCGGCGATGTTTACCCGGCGAAAGGTAGTGAGTTTTTTTTTTATTCGGCGGTCGAGATTTTGGATGACGGTAAGGTGGGATTTTTAAGCTTTCCATTTTTATAGTATAAAACAGAGTGCTCCGCAGTTTTATTTTTTCATTGTTTCACATATTGGTTTTATTGCTCGTTCATTTTTAGTGTCCGTGAGATTTTGGATTTTCCTCTTTGTAATTGTGTTATTTTTAAGGTGTTTTTTACAAATGTATTTAAAGGCTTCTTTGTTTTACAGACAAATATATTTTTAAGCTTCGTGAGCGAAATTCCACTTTTAATTTAAACCCTTTTAAGAAACAAATGATACCATAGTTTGGCTACCGTGACAAGCAACTGACGATCTGCCATCAGCCCCTCAGGCTGACACGCACACCCCTTGTGATTAACCACGCTTACCAGGCATAAACTCTTGTGAATTAGGTCATTTCTTCCTTTTCTTACACTTACACATAATTTCCTTATTAGCTACCTACACTCTTTTAGATGTCCCCCCGTTTCCATACATGTATTGTGCCTGGACGTACTAACCAAGTGGTGGCAGCGACAAATGTCTTAATTAGCAAGGGTAATTAAGAGTAATTAAGTCGGAATCACTACATATCAAACCATATCAAGTTGAAGGCAAACACTTTAATACAAAATGGAAAGAGGATTCCAATAATGTACGCGTGAAGAGCAAACATATATCAGAGTGTATCAAAAAGTCAAGAGTTTCGGGAGTTACATAAAAAGGCCTATAGTAATCCGTTTGGTACTACTGTTGGTGTAAATAGTATATATATGCGCCTTTTTACGCATAAATGCTTGTGTTTTGCCAACAAACAGGACTTCCATTCAAAAAATTAAACAGTTTGCTTGTATATGTTTCCATACATTTCGGGGAGAAAAAATAATTCATAAGGTCAAAGAAAATAAAGAAATAACAAACATTTTCTCTACAGGGTGGTGTAGGCCTGCTAGTCTATCCCCCGAGCCAGTCTAGAATCCTCCCGCTCTGCCATTAACTCCAACACCAGCTCCATTAACACCAAGTTCATTTGTATCCCCGAGACCATTACCTCCATGTCCTTCAGTAATTCGACCTGCGCCTCCTAATCCTCCCACACCACCAAATCCGGCTGCTCCACCAACTCCGGCTTCTCCACCAGCTTCATCGATACCTAGAACCTGACCACTAGCTGCAGCAGCGGCGCTGAGAGCAGTTTCAAGGTCTACTCCTAAGAGAATGGTGGGATTCTCGCCCTGTTGGTAGTTGACGAAAAAAAATTGGGATCAGCTTGTGGCTGAGCTGGTACTTCGATCACTTGTTGAGCTTGTTCTTCTTGCTTGTTGATTACATAGACGATATTGCTTTACCTTAGTGGAGGAAGAACGATGGAGTCAGGTGCAGGTGCTTCCTCAGGAAGGCGCACAAACAAGATGTGGTTCACTGCTGGAGGAGGAATACTAGGTGATGGACCAACGGGTCTCTCTTGTTCGGAAACATCAAATTCGTAGACTATTTGTGACTTTTTTGCCCTCATGGCATCCAGTCGGTGCACCTTCTCCATTGACGAGGTTCCAGGTGTTAAAATGTCTCATAGGGTGTATTGTAGACTATCTTACAATCTTCCAAATTTCGCAACTGTAACACTAATGCGCGTAAGAACATCCGCAACTGTTCATATTAATCAATATTTAGAAATTCCTTTTTTTTATAAGAGTTGTTACGAAAACGACAAACGATTTCATTTTTACATAACTTACATATATAAGTCAAAATATACGTACACATACATATGTATATTTCTCTTTCTCTAATATTTGTTAATATGCGAAATACACCTGCACGGTCATTTGTTACTCAGAATTTAAATATTTTGAGTATTGTTGTTTTTTCCGATAAACAATCGGTACGGAGATCACTGAGAAGTCTATGCTATATACATTTCAAAAACATTATATTAAGATTGCTATCTTTCTGCTCATACTTTAATTTGTGACATACTAGCTGTTCAGCTGCTCCAATATACATAACACAATCATCAAATGTGTGTTGATGTACCCATGTGATTTTTAGCATATTATTATTATTAAGGATTCATACACAGTGTGTCATAACAGTTAAGAATTATTTATTGTGTATTACTCCACAACGCATTTTTCCTGGAGGAAATAATATGTATATATATATAATATCGAATTCTGGAATGAATGCTGAAGGAGTAAAGTAACAAGGTCTGTTCTATTTTTCTGCAAGTAAAACACAAAACGAAAAACTTTTGCCTGACCGCGAATATCGTTTGTGAGTTGACCCACGCTCACTTAACCCACATATTGGTGGTTATTGTATCATTTGTTGCTTTTGACAAATTATGTTTTATTTTTTTTTCAAAAGACTTTAGTAATGAAGTTAAATCTATAAAGCCTTTATATAACTCTAAAAGTGCATGCGCATAAATATATAATTTCATAATTAATTTCTTTTTACACATGTATGTACATATATTTACGTATACAGAGCCATATTATCTACCTACCAATTGATATAGATCAGTTGGTAGTTATATGTGTGTGAGTGTGTGTGTATGTATTCATATATGCATGTATATGCGACACACACACACACACATACATATATATATATATATATACGTATGTATATATTTATATATAAATAAATACATATATTTGTATATATAAATATGCATATGTATTCATTCATTTATTTATAAATATACCTAGCTACATGCATTGATTTATATGTATATATGTATGTAGATAGGTATATATAAATAAGTAATGCATATATACATATATGTGTGTACATATGTATATACTTATTTATCTATATGTATACCTACCTACATACATATATGAATATATAAAGACAAATATTATATACACATACTAGCATATACAGAGACAAATAATGTATGCATACAATCGTGTGTGTATATATAGGTATATATATATATATGCATGTGTATATATATATATATATATGCATGTGTATATATATATATATATATATATGCATGTGTATATATATATATATATATATATACATCACATATATCACATATGTATACATATATCTACATATTCAAATATAATTGTAAATATTATATATACAGTATATATGATACACGTACACACTTACACATACACACGTGTACACGTATATGTATATATATACATAAATGTGTGTGTGGGCGTGCCTGCCTTCATATATATATGAATATATAAAAATATGTTTACACGCATACACATATATACATATATACACGTATGTATGTAGAAAGATGAAGAGATTTATAATATAACATGCAATGAATCTCATATATAAAGGAATGAGAGAAGGTATAAAACATTTTGCTCCAATATGATTACATTTATTTTTCGAATACAGCAAATGTAATTCTTAGGTAACAAACGAAAGGACTAGAGAAAAACAAGATTTAGGGAGAGGTGTAAAGACCTGATGGTCTTCCTCCAGAACTGACCTGGAAGCCTCCAGCTGCTCCATTAACTCCACCAACACCGGCTCCATTAACACTACCAAATCCATTTACACCAACAAGACCACTACCTGCGGGTCCTCCCACAATTCCACTTGCGCCACCTAATCCACCTACACTACCAACTCCAGCTGCTCCACCAAAGCCAGCTTCTCCACCTGCTCCATCGACGCCTAGAACCTGACCACCGGCTGCGGCAGCAGAGCTAAGAGCAGTTTCAAGGTCTACTCCTAAGGGAAGGGTTGGATTCTCGCCATCTTGGTAGTTAACGAAATATATCTCGGGATCGGCTTGTGGCTGAGCTGGTACTTCGATCACTCGTTGAGCTTGTTCTTCTTGCTTGTTTAATACGTACACAATGTTGTTCTGCCTTGGTGGAGGAAGTACGATGGGGTCAGGTGCAGGTGCTTCCTCAGGAAGGCGCACGAACAAGATGTTGTGGTCCACTGCTGGAGGAGGAATACTAGGTGCTGGACCAACGGGTCTCTGTTGTTCAGGAACATTAAATACGTAGACCTTTCTTGTGACTTCAGGAGTTACACATGTCCCATCTACGTGAAGGATTTCTCCCTCTTGGCATCCAGGCGCATCACCTCCTCCATTGACGAGGTCTCCACCAGCACCCGCGGCATCAGCAGTTAATCCAGGACCAGTAGCAAGCCTGGCACCAGAGGGTACTCCCAAGTTGTACCCTTGAGGTGCCGCAGAGGCAGTAACTACGAGCATTAACAGTAAACCCTGTGATAAATAGCTTCAGTTAGTCTAATATGCTTCTCAATTATTTTCATATATTTTCACGTATAACCGTTTTAGTTACTATAAAGAACTAATTTCTATATGCTACTTGGACACTTTTAAGTCTATGAATTAAACATACGGTGAATTCCATGTCGGAGGAGACTGTGTGAAGATGTGAGACACTAAATTCCTTTTATATGTAGACCCTTTCTCTAGTAACCTTCATTTAAACCTGTTCAAACATAACACAGTCACCTTCAGAAAAAAAAAAAACTTTCCTTGTATAAATTGCTTATTTTTTGCTGGTGTAATTAGTCATCGTTTCACTCGTTTACAGATACCACCACAATGGATGTAGTAAATGATGAAAACAGGTTATTATTTACATATATGTATGGCTATAAGCATGTACGTATTTACAGAAACTCATATAGACGTAAATGTATATAGAATTGCATATCAATGTGTTTATACACACATATATATAACGGAACTAAGAGCAGCTGGAAGGTCTACTACAGAATGGGTCGGATTCCTTCTAGCTTGCTAGTTGGCGAAATAGATCTCAAGATCAGCCTGTAGCTGAGTTGGTAATTCGATCACTCGTTGAGCGTATTCTTCCCGTGTGTTCATTATAAAAATAATATTATTTTCCTTTGGTGAATTCAGCTGCAGGCGTTTCCTTGAGAAGAAATACGAGAAGAAGGTACCATCTATGTGGAAGATTTATCTTTCTCGGCATCCAGTAGCTGCACGTTATCACTGACAAGGTCTCCGCTGGCGACAGCGGCATCAGCAGCAGTTCTCGGACCAGTAGGAATTAGTTAATAAGTTTCACTGTTACCTCAGTTTATTTACATAAAAAGAAAGATTACATTTTTTGTTTGAATAATTTTCTTGAAATACAATTATCATAGCAATTTTAATCTAAGCTGAGACAAAATTATTTTCATAGCGAAAGAAAGTGTGTGCGTGCTAGTTAATATGTAGTGGACCGCCTGTGTACGTCCTCCTCGGTCCCCTTCATATCCTTTCGCCCCCACCCCCCTTACGAGATGAAGGACGGCGTCCACCCTCGCTCCACGGAGGCGGTCGCAGCCTCGCACGCCTTCTAGATCTCCCTTAACCCCTGTATTTATCTCCCGGGGGTGAGGATGCCCGGCGCGGTGAGGAAGCTGGGCAATAGAAAACGGGAAGCATACCTGGAGCGACTCACCTGCACGGCCTCATTACGTTATACTGATTTATTTGTTTTACTTTGTTATTTGTTTTAGTGTATTTTAATAAACTTTTTTACATCGTGTTTTACACGGACCTTCGTTTTAAAAAGAGACCACCAAAAATAGATTTATAAAGGAACTTATGTATACGATGGTTCATATTTATTTTTTACAATTTTATTTCATAAACTTTTATTAATTTTAAAAACTAACTTTAAAGATATTTAAATTATTATTATACTAAGAAAATTCTAATGTATATTGTGACTTTATTTTGCAAGTTTTATGAGACCAAAACTTAGTTTCGCGGGCCGAGGTGACAATGAAAAGTCCCCGACCCTTCAAGCAAAGCGGTTCGAGGTCCAGGTCAGGTGCTGGATGGTGGTTGTGGTGCACAGAATAAGGTGGTCTCGGCAATACAAAAGAGCTAAGTGATTACATCATAGTATACGCGAGAGAAGGTGGTTCTCATTTTAATGTTTGTGCTTTGTGTTTTACCGTGTTTTATGTCTTTTGTTTCTGTGTTTAAGTGTTTGTTTTACTGTGCCATGTTTCGTTTTATGTTCTGTTTTAGATTTTTTTACAAAATGAATAGACAATTAACTCTTGATAAGTCCCCGGCTCCTTGTAAGGAGGAAGGCTGAATAACGCTTAAGCCTATTTTAGTTTTTAAAATTTAACAAGGCCAACAATCAAAAACCCTACAGTATAGATGAAGCATCTGTACACACCTCTCCTCGGGATTCTAACCACGCCTACCTCACTTCGGCTCATTTTCACAACTACACTTGACACAAACACACCTACACACAGTTATGTCGCTCCTTTCCACAATCCTTCTGACATTGCATCCCTTCTTACATCATACATACAAATACACACAAACATACATACATACATATATATATATATATATATATATATATATATATATATATATACATATATATACATACATACATACATACATACATACAAATATATATATATATATACATACATACATACATATATATATATACATACATACATACATATATACATATATATATATATATATATATATATATATATATATATATGTATACATACATACATACACAGATATTTATGTGTGTGTTTATGAATATATATGTATATATATATATATATATATATATATATATATATATATATTACACACATAACACACACACGCACATATGTATTCTTTCTCTTTCTCTAATAATATTTGTTAATATTATGCGAAATACATCTGCACGGTCATTTGTTACTCAGAATTTAAATATTTTGAAGTCTATGCTATGTACAATTAGAAAACAGGATATTAAGATTGCTATCTTTTTCGCATACTTTAATTTGTGACATACTAGCTGTTCAGAACATGGTTATATTCCAATATAAATACATAACATAATCATACGACAGTCTTTCTACTTTGTTCTATATCGCATACGCACGCACATCCAAACACACAAACATGATAGGGGAAACTACAGAATGAAGAAGGCGCAGTTAAGATATTTTCTGTACAGTGTTTTATAGACGTGTGAATATCAATTTCGATGAAAATGTGTGCTGATGTACCCATGTGATTTTTATCATATTATTAAGGATTTATTCACAGTGTGTCATAACAGTTGAGAATTGTTTATTGTGTAATACTCCACAACGCAGTTTTGCTGGAGGAAATTATATATATATATATAATATCGAACAATGGTTTTGCTGAAGGAGTATAGGAACAAGGTCTGTTCTATTTTCCTGCAAGTAAAACACAAGAGGATAAACTTGTAGCGCTTTTTGCCTGACCGAGAATATCGTCTGTGAATTGACCCACACTCACTTAACCCACATATCCGTGGTTATTATATCATTTGTTGCCTTTGGCAAATTATGTTTTATTTTTTCAAAAGCCTTTAGTTATGAAGATAAATCTATAAAGCCTTTATATAACACTAAAAGTGCATGCGCACAAATGCACAATCTAATAATTAATTTATTTTTACACATGTATGTACATATATTAATGTACACAGAGCCATACTATCTACCTACCAACTGATATAGATCAGTTGGTAGTTATATATGTATATGTGTGTGTGTATTCATATATGCATGTATATACGACACACACAGACACGTTATATATATATATATATATATATATATATATATATATTATTTATATAAATATACATATATATTCATTCATTTATCTATCTATATATATATATATATACCTACATGCATACATTTATATGTATGTATGTGTGTAGGTAGGTATATATAAATCAATAAATAAATATATACATATGTGTGTACATATGTATATACATATTTATCTATATGTATACCTATAAATATACATATATGAATAAATAGACAAATATTATATGCATACAATCGTGTGACTGATATATATATATGTATATATATATATAAATATATATATATGTATATATGTATGTGTATATATATACATGTGTACATATATATTACATGTATATCACATATGTATACATATATATAAATATTCAAATATAATTATAAACATTATATACAATATATATATATATGATGCACATACATACTTACACATACACACGTATAAACGTATATGTGTATATATACACGTAAATATGTGTGTGTGCGTGCCCGTCTGTGGTAGCGTTGGTGTATACGTGTACATACATATATTCATATATATACGTATGCATGTATAGAGATGAAGAGATTTATAATATAACATATAATGAAACTCAGATATAAAGGAATAAGTGAAGGTATAAAGGAATGAGAGAAGGTATAAAACAGTTTACTTTAATATGATTACATTTATTTTTCGAATACAGCAAATGTAATTCTTAAGCAACAAAGGAAAGGACTAGAGAAAAATAAGATTTAGGGAGAGGTGTAAAGACCTGATGGTCTTCCTCCAGAACTGACCTGGAAGCCTCCAGCTCCTCCATTAACTCCTCCACCAACACCGGCTCCATTAACACTACCAAATCCATTTACACCACCTGGGCCACTACCTGCGGGTCCACCGACAATTCCATCTACGCCACCTAATCCACCTACACCACCAAATCCGGATGTTCCACCAACTCCAATTTCTCCACCTGCTCCATCGACGCCTAGAACCTGACCACCGGCTGCGGCAGCAGAGCTAAGAGCAGTTTCAAGGTCTACTCCTAAGGGAAGGGTTGGATTCTCGCCATCTTGGTAGTTAACGAAATATATCTCGGGATCGACTTGTGGCTGAGCTGGTACTTCGATCACTCGTTGAGCTTGTTCTTCTTGCTTGTTTAGTACGTACACAATGTTGTTCTGCCTTGGTGGGGGAAGTACAATGGGGTCAGGTGCAGGTGCTTCCTCAGGAAGGCGCACGAACAAGATGTTGTGGTCCACTGCTGGAGGAGGAATACTAGGTGCTGGACCAACGGGTCTCTCTTGTTCGGGAACATTAAATACATAGACCTTTCTTGTGACTTCAGGAGTTACACATGTCCCATCTACGTGAAGGACTTCTCCCTCTTGGCAACCAGTAGTTGCACCTCCTCCATTCGCAAGGTCTCCACCGGCCCCTGTGGCGCCAGCAGTAGATCCACTAGCAAGCCCGGCACCAGAGGGTACTCCCAAGTTGTACCCTTGAGGTGCCGCAGAGGCAGTAACTACGAGCATTAACAGTAGACCCTGTGATAAATAGATTTAGTTAGACTTAGATGCTTCTCAATTGTTTTGGTATACTTTCACGCAAAACCGTTTTTATTTATTTTTTCATTTTACGTATTTTACTACTTTGTATATGCTACTCGGACACTTTAAACTTTTTGAATTAGACATACGGCGAATTCCATTTCGGAGGAGACTGTGAGGATGCGAGATAGTAAACTCCTTTTATATGTAGATCCTTTCTCTAGTAACCT